ACCCGAGTAATGACAGCATTTCGTTCGCAACAGTGAGTCTGTCGTGGGTTGATTAGTGATAAGCTTGATGATATCTGGCCTGTAGACATACCCTATCACCGTGAACTCCAAAAATCCATCTGCACCGCCCAACTTCGCGTTCGTGAGATGATGCACCCATTTCCCTCCTCCATCGCCTTCTGCTTTTTCTCCTGGCCCGCCCTCATCGGCATCAACATCCGGCCCAAACTCAGGGTCATTCTCCGCAGGCCCATACTCGAAGTCCCACTCGCCTTTGGGGAGATGATGTCGTGGAATGGAGACGTTGAAGGTACGGTGTAGGAGGAGAGAGACGTGGTCCGGAGAGCATAGATTGACCTTGCCAACTGTCCAAAATTGGTTGATCTGTTAGCACATGCAAGTGTGGCGTATCGGGATGCCGAATAGCGCATATGAAACCATGGACATACCCAGCTTCATGCCGACGCGCGGGCTCCATATCGTCGCGTCAAATTCAATTTTGGAGACGAGGAATGGACAGTCGGCTTTTATCGTGGCTGTCGTGGAGAGGAAGCGCAGATTTGAATGTGAGAGCACGACACCGCGTAGTGCGGGGATGTACCTGTCGAACAAAACATATGGAGTAGAATAGGATAGGATGAGATGAAAGTACACATTCGATCAACGTTTGTACAGTAGATAGCATTGGCACAGTGCACGCACCGCATGACCATGGAATCGAGCATCTCCTCCACGCCCGCGCGCGGATTCCCAACAAATACAGGCGCTATCGATACCACGAGCTCAGTCTTTACGACATGGAACTCCGAGTCTGCATTTGCGTCCGTGTGCGCGGCATCCCCGCGCGCCTTGCCCTTCTCCTTCTTCTCCTTCTTCTCCTTCTTGTCCTTGCCGTCCTTTTTCGATTTCTTCGCGGGTACGTCTACCGCGGCGGCGGTCTGCTTGCGCTTCTTCGTTGTTGTGCTGGTGGTCGGCTCGGGCATCGTCCTCGCGGTTACGGTGAGAGCAAGACGTCCAAATTTTTTGGAATCAGCTCACGTGACGCGAACGAATTTCGGTGGCGCGGAATCGTTTTTTGGCCACCGACCGGCAACTACACCACAACCTCCCGACTTTGCGACTCGCGACTCCCTGTAATGGTGCGTTTTGTCTGAGAGGCCAGTTCATGGGCCTGTGTTTGAGCATTTGGGCTAAGGAAAGCGCGGTAGTCCTCCCCAAAGGTCCTTGTCCAGATCCTCGTCACCGGCAGCCGAATCCTAGGGAAGGCGTTCTTTGAAGCCGGCCGACAGGCAGTCAAAAGTGCGTTTGGCATAACATTTTCCTCGCCAACAAATTCGCTCCGTCGCGTTAATTCAGTCGGTCCTACTTACTGACGAAGGGCACAGATGCAAAGTCTACACCGGCGGCAATTGGAGGCGACATCGCAGGGGTCGGGAGTGCCACGTCTGGATCGCCGTCTGACCAGGTGACACGGCTGCACCGGATGACGCTTGACGAGGCGAACCTCATCCTTAATGCCAAGCGGGAAGACTCGCTGGAACAAGTGCTAAAGGTGCGTTCGTCCCACTCCGAGCCTGCTCATTTATTTTCGTCCCTCACACGCGCCATTCCGCTGCACAGAACTACGAACACCTATTTAAAGCCAACTCCCCCGCACCGCCTCCAGAAAAGCCTGTGAAGCTGCCCAAGGGCAAAACGCTACCGCCGACGAACTCGCACTACCTCCAGTCGAAAGTTGTCCGCGCGCGCGAACGAATAGAAGCCGAGCTCAAGCTGGGTGAGCCGCCCGCTGCACCCGCCGCCGAGTCACCTGCACCAGGAGCAGCACCGGGCGCAGGGTCAACGCAGACACCACCTCCGCTGCAGAGCTAGATGGTTCGCTGACCGGAAGACTCGGAGAGGGATGGAGAGAGAGGAGCACACCACTATTGTATTATTTCGTAACACCGCACCCCCTCACTGATGTTAATACCTTACTGCGACAATGGAACTATACATAGATGCCCATGCAGTTAATTATCAAAACTCTGGAGCGTCGGCTGAGATAAGGACACAGTATGTAGCTCGCAGTGCCATAGTACAAAAAATAGGTAAGTACCCGCCGCAGATAAACATCTTCAACGCCGGTTCAAAAAGTTCCCCAATTCAGGCGCCATTTCTGTCAAGTGCACTGCCCATTCGGCGGAGTCCCCATAAATGGCCTGTATCAAAGCAGTCGGCGCGAGGGGGTTTGAGGTAAGCGACTTGACCTTCGCAACGAACGCATCGGAGTTGGGGTCAGAACAAACACGGCAGGTGCACTGGAACCCGTATGGCTCTAATTTCGCCTGACGCTTGGTGGTAGGCATTGTCGGAGGGCAGTACGCGATGAATATCTCTTCGCCTTTTTTGATGTCGCGGATGGCGTGGAGCTGCAATGAAAGAGAAGCGACGTCGAGCTTGCCGTATTCGGCGTTTGGGACACAGCTGCACAATGAGGATGAGTTTCCTTAGTACTTGGGCGGAAATCCTGAAAGATGAGAAACGCACCTGTGATTAATACGAGAAATGTCTTTGAAGACTGCGATCATAGCACGAGAAGAATCTCCTCCCGGCTCATCGAGTGCGAGGATGTTGTTCGTCCTGACCCTTCCATAGATGGGCCCAGATCCATCTTCGGTGTGCGCGTTGTGCAGCGCGAGGAACGCAGCACAATTTTCTGGGAACATCCTTTCCAGGGCCATGTCAAGGTACTGCTCGTACTGCACCATCCGTGCCTCCATAATCTGTGCATGCGTCGGCTTGAAGTCCGGTGAGAAATTGAGCGGCAGAGGAGGGATGACATGTGGAGCCATCAGAAGGGGCCGTTCGGACACGATGAGGTCGTCCATCGCGATATTGCGGGTGGCGAAGACGCCCATTCCGAAGCGAGACGGTGCGACGCGATGAAGAACTTGACGGGGCCGGGGAATCGGAGAGGGGAAGCCGGGTGTTGAGACTATGGTGCGCTTGTGGTCGCCACCCCAGAAGACACATTCCGTCCAGCTGTCGGGATTGCTGGCGAGAGTTTCGTTGGGATAGAGAGGGGGCAGCGTAGAGACGAAGACTGTGTTGTCAGAGTAATCTGTAGTCTGTCCGTTGACTGCTTGTCTCAGTAGCTGGAGAGCTTGGTATCCGCGGAGAGCTGGCATTGGGAGAATCAGATACGAGCGAGCGCTGTGGATACCAGAAGACTAACCCGGTTCCACCTTGCCAAAGCGAAGTCTGGTCATGGGCTGGAATTCATCTGGGTAACGATTGAGCAAAAATTTCGAGACGCGTCGTCGCAAGTGCCACACACCTGGATCCGGCGCAGGCGTACTAGTAGTGGCGGGTGGACCGGCAGTACTAGTTCGGTTTGCAGGAGTCTTTGCTGGCTTTGAATTCTTCAAGAATCCTCGTTTCATAGAGAGCGCGGGTGGATAACAGAACACAGATGCTTGGAAGAAGTAGACACAGCAGACCGAGGCAACATGACATTGACAACGACGGCGCAAAGAGTCTTATCTGTTCTCCATCCCCACCTTTATCGTAACAAAAGAAGACGAATTTCGGACACGTGTAGCCCAGTGGATCGAACCAAGAGCTCGAGATCATAATGCATGCGTTGTGCATGCCAACAGTCATGTCACTGGGGACACCCACAAAGCAATTGGTGCTCCGTTGTAGAATTGAAGGCGAGATTCGGAAGTCGTGGACAACTGAATGCGATTGGGGGGTCAGAAAAGGGATATGCTGAGCTTGCGAAGTGTCAGTGAGTGATGTATACGTCTTCCTTTATAAATAAAGACTTCACGCCTCTTCTCGGGGCCAGATATCACGCTTTCCCAGCCGTCCGATCATAGCTATGTTGCAAGCCATGAGCCGAGAAATGTGTGGCATTTGCAAGCAGGGTATCGGCGCCGGGATGACAGCACAGCTGGCAGGTGCACTCGAAGCCGTACGGCTTTAGGATCTCCTGGCGCTGGGCCGCCGGTTGCATTATACAGCAGTAGGCGATGAATATCTCGGAATCTTTCGCAGTATCAACGATAGCCCGAACCTCGCAGGAGAGAGAGGCAACCGTGAAATTGTATGACGCGTTCGGATAACAACTGTTCAGCAACGACGATGAGCGTTGAGCTTTGAGAAGTTGGCTGACGGAAGAGGATACACACCGGTGGTTGAGGCAGGAGATGTCATCGAAATCCGCGACTATATCGTGCCAGCATCGTCGTCGTCCATGATCGAGATGCAATTCGTCATGATCCTACCGAAGAGTGGCCCGGAACCGTCTTCGGTGTGTGCGTTATGCAAGGCCATGAACGCAGCGCGATTCTCGGGGATCATCCTGCTGAGAGGCTGCTCGAGGAGCTTTTCGTAATTCCTCATCCGCGCCTCTGTGATTTGCGCCGTCGTCGGGGTAAAGCCAGGTCAAAGGAGGACAAGACCTAGGGGCGATGAGGAGGGGGCGCTCGGCGAAGATGATGTCGCCTCTCTTGATATTGCGCGTCGCGAAGACGCCGGCGCCGAAGGGGGATGGTCCAACGCGATGGTTGACCTGCGACAGCCTGGGCATCGGTGATAAGAAACCAGGCATCGCAAGCATCTCGCGTTTCTTTTTGCCGCCGTAGAAGAGGCACTCTGTCCAGTTGTCGGGGTTGTCGGCGCAGGTATGCCTAGGGATATACGTGGGGATGTGCGAGATTGCGTTGGACGTCCCATGTCTTGACGGGCAGAGCTGACGCCGAGATCAGACGCACACGTCGGGGGTGGTTAGGGCTCGCATTCTCCAACGGATTACAATTGCAAGGAGGGATTGTATTCGAAGTCGAATTTCAGGGTATAGCTACGCAGATCCGTCAGTTTTGGCGACTCAAGCCCCCAAAGCAGTCCATTGTTCTCGCTGGCGGACGTTCGCAGCAGGAACAGGGTTCCTTGGCAGAAAAGGATGTCAAGCACTGCTCCCTCCTCAATAAAAACTCTGCTTGTAATATACTCATAGGTCCTACCAGGGCTCGAACCTGGGTTTCGAGAAATCAGGCTTGAAGCGTCAAAATCTCGAGTGATAACCCCTACACTATAGAACCATGAGGGATCAGGCGGGACATGAGGAGGCAACGAGGACGTAAGCGAGGCAGATCGCAAGTTGATCGGCGTTCCAGGGTTTGTTCATGACCACCAACCCGTCGCACATTTTAATTGCACGCCACTCGCGCGGGGCCAACAATCCGTCTGCATCCCTCAGCTCTCCCACAGAAACCCATGCAGCCGCTTCAGGCATCTTTCGCTCGTCTGGATCCCCACCATGGCTTCTGCAGGAGTGTGAGACCGACGACATCGTTTCTGAGCTGAGCATCGAAGACAACGCCGAAGAGGCCATCGAGATTGACGAGGCATTCACCAAGCACAGTCGGTTTCCTGGCACCGTCAAGATCGTCGTCGAGAGCACCACTTTCTGGTTAGCGTCCACCAGAGTCGTGATTCTTCGTTAGCTGTGATTATGATACGCTTTGCGACAGGGCGCACAAGGAGGTCCTGTTCTTTGCCTCCCCGTTCTTCGAGGCCGCACTCAGTGGCAATTGGTCAGAGACAGGCCGTCCGCCGTCCATGTCCAGCGTCATCACCATCTCCCAGCCCCCATCCGTCCCGGGCGAGCGCACCAAGTCCAATTCCAACTCGACGGAGATGACGTTCGCTGAGATGTCGGACGGCCAGGATGGGGCCCCGTTAGAACTCGATATGATCGCGGAGCATGACGCGACAAGGGTCGATACGGCGAGTGAGAGTGAGGATGGGGGTGAGCCGCGGTCGCGAAATCCCGCAGGGGCGCCAGGGGAATCGGAATCGGAGGCAGAGGAGGAGAAGGAGGTGTCGCTGCCGGACGAGGTCGCGCGTGAGAGGGATAGTAGCCTCGCGAAGTTGCAGGGATCGGTGTCAGATGAGGCTGGTGGGCGCTCGAAACGAGCTTCGGTGGAGAAACCACCCGACAAGAAGTCTGGACGGAGGCGCAGGCTCGTTAATGGCCCTGATGCTGTTATCGTCCTCAAAGAAGAACGGGTGTGTTGCTTCCCGTCCGATTTCTGTCTGTTTCTTACCTGTATGCATAGGCCAGCACGTTCCATGACTTTCTCAAATTCGTATACCCGCAGTACGTCTTTCCCTTCCCCTACACAATCTACCGCCAACGACCACCCCCAGCCTCGAGTGCACCATAACGTGGAACAACGTCGAGTCCCTCATGAACATCTCGCACAAGCTCTGCGTCCCGCCCCTCCAGCGCGAGTGCCTCACCTTCCTCCTCACCCACGCCGCCGGCAAGCCCATCAAGGCCATGCGCATCGCAGAGCTCTTCGAGGAAGAGGAGCTTTACCGCGAGGCCTCCCGGTTCGTCCTAGATAACCCCGGCGGATGGCCCGAGAACGAGATGGCGACACTGAGCGGGGAGACGCTCCTCAAGCTCGAGAAGAGGAGAACCTGGTTCTTGGAGCGGGTGCTCAAGTTGGGATTGACGTTGGTCGCCAAGGAGTATCAGTGTGTGCGTACCCGGTAACCTATTATTTCCCCCGGTACTTTGATGTTGATTTGTGTGGCATGCAGTGCGCGACGTGCCCCGACTCGTCTGCATGTGCGCGTCTCCTCGAGGAGAAGTGGAGGCAGGCGTATTTCGCCGTCTTCCGATTCGGTACGTGCGCCACATGTATTCGCACTTTCATAGTCCTCACATGTAAACTTTGTTCAACGACAGGCCCCCCACAGCCCTCCATGGTATTCCGCTACCTCCGCATGCTAGAGGGCGTCAGCCCACCGCTGTCTCTTACACAGACCGCATGTCAAGCTAGCGCGAAGGCGTTCACTGCTACGCGTCCGTGTTCTTTTCTGCACCTCCTCCTCCTTTTCCCCCTTTATTCTGACACGCCTACCCCGCAGTGTTTGACCGCATGTTCTCCCTCGGCGTGCGCGGGAGCGGCACGGACACTGCGCCACTGGGCGGGAGGGTGACTGCCGCTGCTGTCGCGGGCGCGGCTACCGGTCCCCGCCGCCATTTCTTATTCTGCACTCTCATGCCGGATGTGGCGCCGAAGACACGGCGGTCGAGGGAGCTCCCGTAGGCAGGTGGGACGAACTCGCCAAGGGGTGATTTGCGTTTTGCAATCGTTGACGACGGCGGTCGAGGGAGCTCCCGTAGGCAGGTGGGACGAACTCGCCAAGGGGTGATTTGCGTTTTGCAATCGTTGACGGGGAGTTGGTTGACCGGTGGTTATTCAATTTTGCACGCTCTGTTGCTGTCGATAGTGTATCATAGTTGATAAAAGGACTTTTTTTTACATCGGTTTGCCGTGACGATGTTACTCGCGTGCGGGGAGTACCTACGTACGCGTGAAGCCGGATTCCGACGTTGAATCTGAGGCCTGAGTAGCAGGTGATGATGACAGGGGGTAGTAATGGTCATATGTGCAGCGAGATACATCCAATCCGTGGGTTATGGCGAAGTGTGGGGGTATCATAAAACAAAGCGGTGTGAAGAAAAAAGGAAGGGATGGATGGATGGATGGCGAAAACTACGAAGAATGTACAATAAGGCGAATAATGCCAGCGTAGAGGCGTGGGTAGGCGGGGAAAGGAATGAACGTGGGTGACATGGCACAGAGGAAGGGACGAAGGAAGGAAGGAAAGTAAAGCTGACAGATATGTACATACACATGAAGGAGACCGTAAAAGTAAGAAAAAGAATGTAAGAGCGAAATAACCTTGAACCTTTAAGATAGTGAATAGTGATAGTGGTCAGGTACTGTAGGTCAGTTCTTTGGGAGCCTGTTGGTTGAATATCTCCGGTGCGTTGTCCACGAGCCATTCGATGGAGAGCGCTTTGCCTGCCATGTCGCTGAACTCGGCGCCGGGGTCCCGGGAACGCATCAGCGTCGCTGGAAGATGCATCAGTATAGGGATGGGATGAGCAGGAAACAGAGAGGATACGTACGACCAAAGACGACTCCCAGGTTTCGTGCATTCATTTTGTTGATCTCCGATTGATCCCGCACACTAGGAGAGGCATGAGAAAGGGTAAGAGAAGAGAAGACGCAAGCGACGCACCGGTTGAGATGCAACATGAGCATGCGTAGCGTGTAATAATGCTCGTCCGGAAGGTCGTTTACGAGGCTGAGCAGCTTGTTGTGCCGCACCGTCTGATCTGTCTCCTTCACGGCCATCATGAACCCGGGATGAAGGTCATAGGTCAGCAGAGGCACCGGGAGTGCGCGGAAGTAATTCTTCAGCACAGATGTCACACTGCAGATGTCGTTGAAGCGGTCCGAGTCGCAGAGATCGAAGGATGCGTAGTCTCCCCGCTCGAAGAGTTGCGTAATGGCTTTCGATTGCCCTGTGCCGCCCGTTTTGCGGTAGATGCCCTCATAGTCCAGCGCTGACGAGGTAACAAAGTCAACATACATTCAACAATATTTTTTAGGAAAAAACAACGGACCGAGAGCCTCTACGGCTTGAATGCACTTCTCGACGATGACTGGCACTTGACGCTCATCGCCCTTTGCATCTGCCTCCACCTGCTCCACAATATCGCGACCAAACATTGACGGTGCTGTGAAGAGAACAAATTTGAGCAGCAAGGAAAGATATCAGAATTTCTTGACATACGTAATGGAAGGGGTGGAAGCTCGCCCTGCATCTCCATAGATTGTTGTTGCACACATGGCAATTGGAAGTGACCTTGGCATCGCACGTGAATGGACTTTTGGCAGACTAGATAGGACGAAAAGGATCAGCCAAAAGGGTTGTACACTGTACTGCGAAAGAACGCACCTGTGCATCGCAACTGCGAGCCCCACATCTTGTCGTTACAATGGTCACACCGCGCAAACTTGAGGACGCTCAGTTGCTGGAAATTGTGAACGCGATCCACCACTGCCGGCGGCGAGATGACATCCTTGACCACTTTGGCGCCCCACTTCATGAACTTCTTCGACGGTGTGTGGTCCGGCTCATGCTGCTTATGGACCTTGAGATGCCGGATATCGATTGTGCTGTCGTCGTGCAGGGTCGATGAACCACTCGTCGAGGAGCTCAGCGAAGATGGAAGGGGAATCGGATATGGTGTCTGTCCGCGTTGGTGGTCGAAGGAGCCTCTTATGCTCTCCTGGTAACCATTGCCATTGGGCGCATGTCCTTCTGAGACAGTATCCATGCGGCGAGAGTAGGCAGCGCTGAGTTGGGCCAGCTCTTCGTTACGGGCGTTGAGAACCGTCGTTTCTTCGAGGAAAACATCTCGCACGGCTTTCAGCTCGGCAATCTCGCGCTGCAGACCTTCGCGTTCTTTGGTGAGAGGGACGAGTTCGCGCTTGTACTGGTGCTTGATGGTGTCGAGGCGTTTCGTCAAAGAACGACCAAGGTTGGCTGGTGGCACTTCGGAAGTTGCACTAGAGAAAGGCAACGCGTTCAGCATGCCACCCAAGGGAACATAAAAGAGCAATCAAGACAGACCTCTTTGTCGCCTCAAGTTCTTCGACTTCTGCCAACGCCATGTCCCGCTCCACCTTGAGATTTGACAGGTCTTGTTCAAGCCCGGACAGGTTATCATGAAGCTCCTTGGAAAGCTTTTGCCTAAGCTGCTCCTTACGATTGTCCCCCGAGAGTGCAGTGAGTTTCGCGACCTGGCCAGACAAGAGCACCCTTAGCCGCGTCACCTCAGCCTCAGCATCCCGGCGGGCCTTCAATTCCCGATCGTATTCGGTTTGCGCGACTGTGAGGCCTTCGATGTACTGTCTGCTTGTTCTCTAAAACGGGCCCAACCGTCAGTCATAGTTCGCAGAATATGTATGATGTGACGAAGAAAGGAGAAATGAGGCGGCGAATATGAATGATGACAAACCTTGACTCCGTCGAACTTCCTCTTTAGCTGCGTGTGCTCCGCCTTCTCAGCCTCCATGGTTGCCAAGATCACTTCGATGAACGTCCTATCCATCTTGAGCTGTTGAGCCCCGCGATCCCGCGCGTCGGCGACCGCTTCCTGCAATCGCACGATTACTAGATGTGCAGTGTCGTGTCGGAGCGTTGTGGGCACACTCGAGTCTGGCTC